GGGGGGGGTGCATTTTTCCTTTGGATACAATTCATGCCAACCCAAGTAAGTGCAGTCCGGGTATGTTGGCCTAAGAAGCAGAGTCAGAATGGCACTGAACTTTTCACTAACTGTGGCCAGTCGAGGGTTGAAAGGTGGCTGTCCTGGGCTACAAGCGCCCTTTGCCAAGTTGGTGTTCTTTTTCGTTTTATGACCGGGCTGAGGATGGAACCCAGGGTCTTATGCATGCTAAGCAAGTGTTAAACGTCCCTAGCCCCCATGTTGGTTTGCAAGAGTCTTCAAATGAGCAAATTTTGAGGACAAGTGTAACATCAGCATGTGACTTTGGGCTGCAGGTCTCACCCACAGTGATCATCTGCCCTTCTGACCTCCGACTTGCAGCAACTTGGGCAATGGTTGTGGCCTGGTGAAGGTCTTCCACCCCGTCACTTTGCTTCCTTACCAGTGTGGGGAGGAGGGACACCTGGTCTTGGGTGGGACCTTTTTCCACTGACTGAATCTGCCAGCCTTGTCATAATGTGCCTCCCTCCCCCTCCGCAGCAGTCAATATCAGTCACTGGCACTTTCCAGCTTGGCCCCTTCCTTGCACCAGGAACCAGCATTAACCACAGGAAGGGAGGCAGAGGAGCTTCTGGAGAGACCCAGATTCTCAAAGCAGCAGAGGGCTCATGGTTTCAACCAAGGCCACCTGAAAAAGGAACTTGGTTTGGTGCTTCCCATGCCAAATCTCCCAAACACAGTGGCCTCCCCAGGCTGAAGCATCTACCATGGTGTTCTCTCTAGTGGTGAAGGTAACTGCAAATCTGGAAACATGAAAATTACTGTCACCTTGACCATTAAAATCCAGAATGAGGACATTGGAGTTCATACAGGTTGCTTGGAGGGAATTAGCAGCAGCCATCCTGAATGCTTTGGTATATGACAAGGGTCCCACTTATGGTGCCAAACCACAGACTAGGTATGAGTGGGGAGGTGCCACCAGCGGCCTCTAGAACCCATGCTCTAACCCCAGCCCTGTGTGCAGGCATTCAGGACTCACTCCCTGCCCTGCCTACCTACATTCAGGCCCTCCAGAAGAGTTTCTGCTTCATTAATTAGCACCCATCAGAAGAGATCCTGAAACACCCAGTTACACCCTGCCTCACCTATAGTAGTTTGCACAGGGCTCTGGGATTTGCACCCAGCCCTGGGAGGGGAGTGCAGCCCCACTCCATCTATAGCTGATGCGGTCCAGACAGGCCAGCATCTGGCCCAAGGCTAGAGAGAGTGCACTGATCTGATTCTAGGCTGGGGAAGGAAGTTTCCAGCCCCCGGTTTTCTGTTCTGGTGGCCGAGATGAAAAGGTCCTTTCACCCAGAGGGAATTCTTGGGATCCTCAGCCACTAGTCCCAGGGCTTCTTAATTCAGGGCGTTGTTCTCCACTGGAGCATTTAGGGTCATCCCAACATGGCTGGTGTTAATGGGCCCAGCCTAGCATGCATTGTAACACCTGGGATGTGTCCCCGTGGAAAGACACCCCAAATCCACCAGTGAAAGGGCAACTTAAGTATTCTAATGCCGATTCTCTAACAAGTGCAGTCTAAACTAGTCCCCTGGGACGGATGCTGTTTGGTCTTGTTAGCCATGCCAACATCCCTCTCAACAGATCAGGTTGCCTCCTCAGGAGAGAGCCTGGGAGGAAGTGGCCTGTGGGGCGAGCACTGGGCATATCTTCATGCTTTGGATGACACCGTCAGAGTGCCTTCCAGAGGGCCAGCAGCCCTGTTTGCCCACCAACAGCACAAAGCATATCCTTCCCTGCCAGGGCCTTCAAGATAACCTGGTGCTCATTCAAGAAATGCAGCTGGTGAAGACAGTGGGTTCCCTGCTGCTCCCTCTAAACCAATGCCCAGGGAACTGCTGCCTCCAGACACCCTCCCAGGCCCAGATAATAGGAGATCTTCCCGTTTTCCAGTGTGCTTGATTCCCGTGTCTGGTACATTCCGCTGTGGCCTCCCAGTCCCCTCTTCCTGGCCAAACTCTTCTCAGGCCAGGCCAGGCCAGAGAAGCAGAGTAAAAAAAAACCTGCCCTCGGATCATGGACCTTGCCACTCTTGTTTCAGTGGCCTCAAACCTCTCACCACATCCCATCAGCAAGTCCTCTAGGGGCAGCTTCAGATCCGCACCAAACCCAGCCAGTTCCTCCCCTGGGCCACCCTCTATGAATCACTCCTACCCAACGGTGTCCTCCTCATCTCTCCCCTGTCCTGCCTCTGCCCCTGCCCTCCATAGTCCTCATGCCCACCCCTTTCTCTGCAGCCCTTAGGAGCTTCCTGTTTTCCCTGGAAACTTTTAAGACTCAAAGAGCCTAAGGACCCAGTCCCTGTCCCCCACCCACTTTCCCTGTGTCTTGTTTTATTTCCCTGGTTAGCCTCCCCATCTGGTACAGTGTACATTTTCCATTCGTGTGTTTCCTGTGGCTCACCTCTGGAAACTAAGCCACCCAGGCAGGAATTTGTGCTTTTTTTTTTTTCTTTCTTTTTTTCCTCCTTTTGGTATCAGGTATTGAACCCAGGAGTACTTGAGCACAGAGCTACATCCCCAGCCCTTTTTATGTTTTATTTTGAGACAGGATCTCACTAAGTTGCTTAGAGCTTCACTAATTTGCTGAGGCTGGCTTTGAACTCATGATCCTACTGCCTCAGCCTTCTGAGCCTCTTACAGGCATGTGCCACTGTGCCCAGGACAACAGGAATTTTATAAGTGTAAATAATACTTGCCATTGAATGAGCTCTTGCCAGGCACTGGGAACACTTTATCAAGCATGATCTTATTAAGTCTCGACCCTCCTGTGGCAATTGCTTTTATCCACCCGCCTCTTTTTCTTTCAGTAATGGAAATAGAACCTGGGGCACTCCGAACTTGAGCTACATCCCCAGCCCTTTTCTTATTTTTTTGAAACAGGGTATTTTGCTAACTTGCCAAGGCTGACCTCAAACTTACAATCCTCCTGCCTTAGACTCCCAAGACACTGGGATCACAATGTGTATCTCCATAAATGACCATTTTTATTGACATTTCACAGAGGAAACCAAATGCCTTATAGATAGCAATCACCCTATACATCAGATAAATGGACTGAGAATCAGAGAGGAGAAAGTTTGTCAACAACATGCCACTAATAAATGACAGAACTGAAACTCCATCTAAGAGCTATTTAACTCCATCCTTATGCTCTCTGACCCAGGAGCTTATTTTATTATTTATTTTTGAAGACGGGGTCTCACTATGTTGCCAGGGCTGGTCTCAACCCCTAGGCTCAAGTGATCCTCCAGCCTCAACCTCCCCAGTAGCTGGAACTACAGGGATGTGCCACCATTCCCAGCTACGAGCTTATTTTAAACCAGGTTCTGTGCACACTTCATGCAATGGGTAAAGGTCAGGCTCAGCAGACTGCTGGGTACTGATTATGGGACCCTGGAAAGTTCCTAACCTGACCACCCATGTGACAGTATACTAAGAACTATTTCCTTCTCAGTTTGACTGAGACCCTGAGAAAAGAGGAGGCCCAGCATCCCTACAGTCCAAGGTGAGACGCCACCCACACAGGCTTACAAAGACGTCGAAAAGCCACTGTGTGACTCTGGCTCTTGCCTCACACAAAATGCAAAGGATGGGGTTGTAGGTCAGAGAAGAGTTTTCTTTGAAGGAAGCTGCTAAAGGGCACTGAGTCCACAGAAAAGGGGGAGCAGTATTTACTTCCCTTAGGGGTTACAAAGGTACCAGACCACTGCCTCATGCCCAGCCATCTCAAATGGAAGAGGCTGCTGGAACAAAAAGAACTGGGGAGCCTAGACCCCGAGAGTCTACAAGGCCCAGGGACATAGCATCTCCAGTGGGCTGGAGGGGGGTCTGCAGAGCCAGCTGGACGGACTGCCTTGAGTCCCTCCCTGCAGGGACAGAAGGACCTGGGTGGAGGATGGATGTCTTACCCCAGGACTGAGACAGAAGCAAGCAAGTAGTCAGAGATGCGCACTTGGCCTCCTCCAGGGAAGTACGGGGGAGATCCCCCACAGTAGACCAAGAACTGAAGAGCCCACAAATGCTCCCAGAGGCGGGCTTGGAGCACCCGTCCTGGCCACAGGGAAGCCAGCAGGTCCTTCCCTACTCCTGCCTTTATTTTTTCCTACTCCTGCAACCCTAGCCCTCATGGATCAGGAGAAACTGTGCCTCTAAATGAAGTTCAAAATCTTGACTCTAGCATGGGAATGGCTTTTATTAAAAATTATTTTAAGACAGGCAATATATTCACAAGATTCAAATCCACAATGTAATAATATTCACAAAGTTCTCCCTTTGCCTCTTCTCCTGCAGGAGAAGTCCCCTACCCTCCCTCCCCACAATGAATTTCCTGGGTGTCCTTCTAGAGTTCCTAAATATAAATCAATACTCTATGTCTAGTCTAAAGCATTTCCACATTTTAACACCTCTAAAATC